GCGCCTCCTCTGTGGTTTGGAGGAATTACAGTCTGATAAATGTCTGTCTCTTGGAACCATGAACGTTCTTCCCTAGAAGAGAGTATCTTCACAGCAATTTCTCCCCACCATTTGTCTTGCCAAACTTTTCCAAACTGACCTTTGCCGATGCTTTCTTGTAACACGATGGTCCTGGCAATTCTTCTCTGAACAAGAAGCAGTAAACTCTTCGTCCCAGGTAGCAGCATCATTGCAGTCACCAACATGATGAGAAGGAGCCAGCAACTCGGAGCAGCAGTCTCTGCCTCCATGGTCCCACCACTGTTTCTGGCTCAGCCTGGCCGAAGCTTCTCCTGAGCAAGCCTCCTAGGTCGGCCTCAAGCTCGAGATCCTCCTGCCTCTGCCTCCTTCAGTAAATCTTACTGGCGTGTGCCACCACAACCAGCCGAGTGTAGCTCAGGCCTGAGCTGGGGCCCACAAGGCCACAGGCAAGCAGCTTTTTCATGAATTTGTACCACGAACGTTGGCCGCCAGATGTAGCATGAATCTTAGAAAGTCTTATTAATAAAAACAAACCTGGAGCCAGGTATTAGGGTGAATGCTGGAAGATCAGAGAAGCAAAACAAGCCACAGCTACCTCACCTCCCCAGTTCCTCAGCTGATCCTGTTTCCTCAGACTGGAAGCCTCTGAGTCCTCATTCAAATAGATCTCAGCTGAACTGTTGCTCAAAAGCCTAAAAGCTTAACCAGCCTCTAGTTCCTGGTTTTCACCCTTTATATACCTTTCTGCTTTCTGTGCTCACTTCCTGGGATTAAAGGCTCTTGTCACCACACTTAGCTGTTTTCAGTGTGCCTTTGAACTCACAGAGATCCAGGCAGATCTCTGCCTCTGGAATGCTAGGATTAAAGGTGTGAGTGCCATCCTTTTCTGGCCTCTATATCTAGTGACTGTTCTGTTCTCTGACCCCAGATAAGTTTATTAAGGTACACGATATTTTGGAGAACACAATATCACCACACACTACAGTTTCGCAAAATTTTTAATTAAACAGCTTTTGCTTGGAACTTTAGAAGACATTTCTCCTCTGGACTAAAATTAGCAAAGAGAAAGATTAAAAACAAAAGCAATAAAGCATGCCGTCGGTACTTTGCAACCAAGCTCGACCTGCTCTTCGCTCTCATTGCTGCATTTTAGCCTCTAACGGGACAGTAGCTGTGCAGTAAGTATATTGAAGTGTCTGAGATTCCAAACACACCCAGATAAATGTCATAAGCATGTGCCCTTCTGTGGTTTTCAATGTTCTGGGCTTCCTAACTGGGATGAATCACACAATGAGAAACAAATTCAAAGTTATGTGCATTTTCACCACATTTTAAGGTCTATTAAACATATTAAACAATAACAAGTTTGTTGTATGGGTCTCTTTGGATCCATGTGTTTTTAGAGCGGATCTCAGTAACATATCAAGATCCCGTACCTGGCCAAGGATCTCGCCAACAGCCTGAGACTTCGCAGAGGAACCGCCAAAGCTGACTGAAATGGGGACAGGCTTGAGAGCTCTTACAGAGAGCTGGGGAAGGTGGGATAATGCACGTGATTTCAGAGAGAGAGAGAGAGAGAGAGAGAGAGAGAGAGAGAGAGAGAGAGAGAGAGAGAGATGCAAGGCCAGAAGGCATCATCTCTCCTAAAGCTGGAGTTACAGCTACTTCTAAGCTACCCAACATGCATATTCTGGGAACTGAACTCTGGTTCTCTGCAAGAGCAGCCAGTGCTCCTAAGAGTTAAACCATCTCTCCAGCCCCATAACTGCCGTTTAGTAGAGCCATACATGGGTTATTCAAATACTGCATCAGGAATTGGAGCCAATAATCCAAGGTATTTTCAAAGACGTTTCCAGAATTTGGATATTTGCTAAATAACACCAAAAGAGACAGATTTCATAATTAGCCCTGGAGTTTTTCGGAGTCCAGACTTACACTTTCTGCTCATGTGCACTGAGCTACCTATAGGCTTCTGGCATGCAGCGTTTTCAGGCATCTTTGCCCAGGGGCACATGCTTTCCTCGGAATGGTGTGTTTTTCCTATTCCCACCACGGGGAAGCTTGCCTTAGCTCTTTCCAGAAGCCCTTACTATGCCAAACCCTCTTCATCAGGACCTGCTGGTGAGACCTCCTTTCCCTGAGTCGGGTGCTCATATCTGTTGCTGCAGAATTGAATTGGCATTAATTTTTGACTTTGGCCTACCACAGGGCCTGGGGTCCCAATAAGCCCTTGGGAATACCTTTGGGCCTCAGCTCTTGTGAGCACCCTTAAGTCCTGGTGTGCACCCTTGGTGGGTTTGCTAGCCTTTCCCCAAAAGGAAGGATTACAGGAAACAAAAGAGATTCTCAGAAGCCACATTTCAGGCCCAAGGATGTGAGTCGGGTTGTCAGGTCTACAGTTTGATGCCCAGTACCACACATGTAATCTGGGTGTGCTGGCTCATGCCTGTGTTTCCTGTACTAAAGAGGTGGAAGATCCTGAGTTTACGGTTGCTCTGGGCAACAGAGTGAGTTTGAGGGAGTCTGGGATACAAGAGACCCAGTCTAAAAGAGGGGGAGGGGCAGCAAGATGGCTCCAAGGATAACAAGCCCAATAACCAGGGTTTGATTCCAGACACTCACCAGATGGAAGGAGAGAACTGATCCCGGGAGTTGTCCTCTGACCTTCCCACGTGACCACACACACACACACACACACACACACACACACACACACACACACACGCACACAATAAATGTAATAATAGACAAGTTCGCAAAATAGAAATATCTATGTTAGTCAAACTCTCATATTCATATCTTCCAGTAATAAGTTGTTATATACCATTTTGGATTGGAGCCGTGCTGGTAAGTGACATGAACACAGGAAGCAGACGGTTAACATCTTTGAAGTCTCCCCATCTCTCCAGCACCCCTTTCTAATGGCACCTGTCTCGGGATCTTACCGTTTGTACTCAGACTGCTGCTGGCCTGGTCTTTGGGCCAGTCGGCTGCAGGTGGCTTCATCCAGTTGCTTTAGCCGGTAACTGCCTGAGTAGGTTGTCACCGAAGAAGCGGTCCACCGCGTCTCCTCCTGCCACAGTTCTCGGGCCTTGCGTCTGATCAGCTCGAACTCTTTAGAAGTGAGAGGGCTGAAGGGGAGCAGGATTTCTGGAGCCAGGTAGAAGAAGTGGGACATGTCTAGGAGAGGGCTGCTATGAGTTGCAGCTTTTCAAGCCCTGGGCATAGTGAAGCGCTCATCTCCTTCTAGTAGTAAGAAGCTATCGACCGACCGGGCAACCAAGCTTCTGAAATCTGACAGGTCACAGAGGGGAGCTTAACTGTCTTAGGTACAGTTACCAGGCAACAGGTCAAAAATTCCACAAATACTGCCTCCATTCCAAACACATGGATTTTCACTCACTTGTAAGTCATCCAACTTCTAGCTGTTGGACTAAGAAAAATACTGCTTCATAATTATGGCAAGAAAGCACTGGGCAAAATTACTTGCCTATTGATACTATCTATGTAAATAATGTAAATCTGAAAGATGGTGGCTTAGGAGATAGGAGCTGAAGATGAAAGAATAGTCCCTGAGGACCTAACCTCATAGAGCTGGGAAAAGAACATTAGCTGTTTGTGATGTCAACAACAGGAGACTCAACAGTGTCCGTGAGTCACAGAGCAGTCGTATGCCTGCTGGTCGGGTGACAGGACAGCCATTCTGGACTGTTAAAATAACAAGGAACCCGGCATACAACCTCAGGTTCTGATACAGTCAGCCCAGAGGGTTACCGTTAAAAAGCCAAGTCCTGAGCATTGTACAGAATTGCCAGGTTGAGAATCACAGCAAATGCTGAGAAACCACAGAATTCAGCCCTGGACTCAGGAATCCTTCCTGCATAATTGCTCTCTACACCGTTAGTGTTTGCCTGGCCACACTTCTCCAGCTCCACCAACAATTCTTCGGCAAATCAGAATGAAATCGAAGTTTTGTTTGTCCTTTACTTTGTCCACTCCTGGAGCAGCATTGCTCAGTTCTTAGCGTCTGGCCAAGCCACCCCTCAGTTCTTCCTAAGCCTGGTTCTGCCTCAGGTGACTGCAGTGGTGCCGAGAAGCTGTGTTCCAGAAGAAAAGCTGCCTTCCCTGACTTCAGAAACTGAGTCCCAGGCAAACCCAGGAATCTGCATTTAAAAAATGCATTTTTAATTTTTATTTGTGTGTATGCACATGTATGTAAGCCACATGTGTGCAGTTGCCAGTGGAGGCCGGAAGAGGGCATTGGAGGCCCTGGAGCTGGAGGTATAAGTGACTGTCTGACAAGGGTGTGGGGAATAGAACTCAGGTCCTCTCCAAGAGCAAGCTGTTTGTACTCATCTCTAGAGCCTGTGCATTTTAATGTCATTGATCAGACGGAATCCATCTTTGAACACTGGGGATGGTGTTCTGGGGACAGGATTTTAGAACTTTTGAACTGAGGCTGCCACACTGCCTGTGTATTTTCTGAAAGTGTTGGCAAATACTGCATAACCCCTCAAGGGTTTTCTCCAAATGTTGAAATCTGGAACATCAGGACCTTTGTTCCAGGAAAGTCGGTAGACTGTGGTCCAGGCTGCTGCTTCTCCTGGGGAAAGGCCTCTTGGAGAAATCCAGATGAGACAATAAGATGGAGGGAAGACGTGAAAGAAAGGGAAGAGAGCAGATTGCCCGGCTCTCGTCAACCATGTGGGGTCAGGGAGCAGCTGTGTGTGCCCTTGAGCCTTGGTTTGTACAAACAAAACGGTGGTTTTGTTGGAAAATGCTGCTAGCAATATGCATTGTTCTAAAATGGGATAGTAAACAAGGCAAACTGTGAAAGAGTATTTGTAGAAAATATTTTCAGATTTTCTTCTCAAATTACATGGCAGTCTATAAACAAATATGGAATAAACCAAGATCTTTCCAAATAAATCACCCTATAAGTCACTTTATTGTCCCTATCGTGTTCTCTATAATTCTTTTATTTCTTTTTTCCCTCCTAGAAATGATCAAGATATCATTTTAACAATTACATCCACCCAAAGTGGTGACATTTGGGCTGGAGATGTGTTTGAGGGACTCAGAAATAAACTCTTATAGCTCCAACCATCTGGTTTTGAGAAGAGAAGAGGAAATACATACTGGAAAAAGGACCGCCTCTTCTAAGCGATGCTGGGAAACTGGGTGTTGGTGTGCAGATGAATGAGGCTAGGTCTCTGTGTAAAAATCTCACCTTGTACAAAAATCAAGTCAAAATGGATCAAGGACTTTAATGTAGGACCTAAAAGTCTGAAACTGAGAGAACATGCTGGAAACACTACAAGACACAGGCAGAGTCGAGGTCATTTGAATAGGAGTCCAGTGGCTGAGGAAATAATAATAAGACTGCACAAATGGGGGTGTTTTAAACTAAAAAACAAAAAAGAAAATAAAACAAAAAAACAGTGCAGCAAAAGAAGCAGTTAGCAGAGTGAGGAGCCTACAGGAGAGGAGGAAATCTGTGCCAGTTTCTCATCCAACAAGGATTAATAAAGCACGTGAAGAACTCACAAAATTAAAACACTAGAGCAAATAACCCAGTCAATAAATGTTCAAACGACCCAAATAGACCCCTTTCAAATGAAGAAATACAAATAGCCAATAAATTCATAAAAAATGTTCAGCAATTTTAGACATTAGGGAAATGCAAGTTAAGCAAAATTGGAATTCTATCGTACTTTAATTGGCTACTAACAAGAAAATAAGCCAACAAATAATGCTGGCAAGGACGAGGAGAGGAGAGCCTTCACACATTGTTGGGGGGAGTGTAAATTTGCACAAGCTGTATGGAAATCAGTACGAAGCTTCCTCAAAAAACTAGATTAGACCTAGTATTGATCCAACTCTCTACCCAAAAAAATCAAATCACTTGCACATCTGCACACTGCTTACAATAGCCGAGGTACACAGCCAGCACATGAGGTGTGCACATTGAGCCATAAATAAAAGTGTCTTTTTTGGGAAAATGGATGGATCTGTATATCTCCATGTCAAGCTAGTCTCACAAACACAAACACACACATCTTCTCTCACTTATGGGATTTAGGGGTGAAAAAAAGATGAAATAAAAGTGTTGGGGGATATTCAATCACACTGTAAGCCCTGAGTTTGCATTTGCATTAACTAAATAAAATTAACTTTGGGTCAGGAGGCTGGGTTAGCATCTAGTTAACAGAAAGTAACCCTAGAGCATCAGAGGGCATCTGGGAGAGATGAGAGACACAGGAAATAGGAGGGAGGGATTTGGAGTGGAGCAGTTTGTTTTTTGTTTAGCTAGGTGCCACTCAACCTCTCTGAGCTAGCAGGTTTTCACCCCAGCCTTTGAATCTCAAGTCTTATTTATAAATAGAATGATAGAGATTTAGGTAAAGTTACCTTTAGCAGAAGCAGCAGAGCCAGTGCCTTGGAACAGAATTCCTGCCAGGCTGAGCAGCCAGGCAACTGCCAGAAAAGCAGGCCGGTAACTGTGGAGTCTTAATTGGTGGCTGAAAAAGCAGTAGATTAAGGCACAGCCACTGTGCCAAAGTCAAAACAACATATTATTGATAGGAAAGGAGAAAGAGCTAGTGGGTGGGAGAAAAGGTCGTGGGCATGGAGGACTGTGACCAAAGTGCGTTACATGCACTTATGAAGTTGTTACGACAAGCCCTCTACTTTGCACAATTAATATGTGGTGATAAAAATTTGAAGCAGCAGTAGTGACAACTGAATCCGAATGTGTCACCTCTGACTCAGGTGGAATTGTGGATTAGTGTGACCACTGCTAGATGCTGAAGGACTCTGCTAAAGTGAACTCACCATGAACATAGCTCCTGTGAGGTCACTGTCCTCACACAAACAGAGCATGGAGGTTGATCCCAGCCCTGCAACGCTTAATAAACAAATGAATGAGAAGAATCGAATGTTTTAATCCAAGCGTTTAATCTGTAAGACTCTTAAAGGACCCATGCTCATTTTTTGCTCATATTTTTATCCGCATTCTTGGGCACTGGCATCTAGTATTGATTTGCATGGTCTGACTTCAGTATTTGGGAGTCTTCACTAAAACCTCCTTTGGGGGCTGGTGATGCGGCTCAGCAAGTTAAAGCGCCTGCTGTGAAAGCCTGGTGACCTGCGTTCGATTCCCAGAACCCACATAAAGGTGGAAGAAGAGAACTGACTCCACAAAACTGTCTTTTAACCTCCATACACACTCTTGTGGAGTATGTACCCTGTTCACATTCATGAACTCACACACACACACAAAATAATTGAAACAAATAATTTTTGAAAATTGAAAAACCCATTGTTTTTTTTTAAATCAGACTACAGTGAACTGTGATTTCCTATTACAGCATGGTAAACGTAACCAAGAATCTAATCAAGAGTACAGGAACATGAACATGTGTTTTTGTTAGAGGGTGAAAATAGCTTACATAATGCCCATGGCACGCTGGACAGCAGGGGGCGTGCCAGCCATCTGAAGTAAGGGAGCCTTTGGAGGGTGAGCTTTGACCAGGCTTCTCTGAAGGGAACTGGTCAGTTTAAAGAAGTGTGAATAGGCATTTACCTAAAAGGTTCCACGGTGAGGAAAGTTTAGAACAAATTGGGAGAAACATTCTTAGCTATAGAACTTCCCAGAACTTTTGTTATTTCATGTGCATTGTGCATCTTTGAAATGGAACTAGTCAAGGTCGTTTTCCATAAGCTGGCTTGACCACAAGCTTCCTGGGAAGACATTCCCTGGACCGGCTGTGTCTGGAATGGTCAGGAACTGGAAAGTCTCGAGGAGTTTGTAGTTGAGATGATGACTAACCTGGGACTCTAGAGTATACACTCCCTAAGCCTGGCATGAGGAGGACCAAGGAGCAGTAAAAACACCAACAAAAAGGAGCGATAACACTAAGCATCAAAGCACCCATACATACCCACCCACAGGTCTGTGCCTGAACCCAGGATTCTGGCAGGCCCTTTCCCCCAAAGCAATGCACGCATTGCTCACCATGCTACCTGATAATCACTGGGTTGCTGTGGATATCACTCTGTATAAATAAAATGCTGATTGGCCAGTAGCTAGGCAGGAAGTATAGGTGGGACAAGCAGAGAAGAGAATTCTGGGAAACAGGAAGGCTACGGGGGAGAGAGACCCTGCCAGCAACATGTGAAGATGCCGGTAAGCCACAAGCCACGTGGCAAGGTATAGATTAATAGAAATGGGCTGAATATAAGAGTAAGAGCTAGACAATGATAGGCCTGAGCTAATGGCCAAGCAGTTTAAATAATGTAAGAGTCTGTGTGTTTATTTTATAAGCGGGCTAAGGAACTGCCGGGGCTTAGCTGGACCCGGAGAGAAAGCTCTCCAGCTACACTGGGTCTATCACCACAGACTAGATATGTCAAGCTGTGTTCTCTGAAGGCAGAAACTCACTCATGTTGGAAGATGAGACCAGGGAAGCTCAGGGAAGGAAGACCAGGATGACTACATTTCCTGGGGCGGGGTTGGGGGTTGGGAGTGTCCTACATGAAGACAGGACTTCCATCTTCGCCCAGTCTG